CCAGTGACTTCAGTCACTCCCGTCATTTCAGTCACTTCAGTCACAGTCACTTCAGTCACTCCAGTCACTCCAGTCACTTCAGTCACTCCAGTCACTTCAGTCACTTCAGTCACTCCAGTCACTCCAGTCACTCCAGTCACTTCAGTCACTCCAGTCACTTCAGTCACTTCAGTCACAGTCACTTCAGTCACTCCAGTCACTTCAGTCACTTCAGTCACTCCAGTCACTTCAGTCACTTCAGTCACTTCAGTCACTCCAGTCACTCCAGTCACTTCAGTCACTTCAGTCACTCCAGTCACTTCAGTCACTTCAGTCACAGTCACTTCAGTCACTCCAGTCACTTCAGTCACTTCAGTCATTCCAGTCACTTCAGTCACTTCAGTCACAGTCACTTCAGTCACTGCAGTCACTTCAGTCACTTCAGTCACAGTCACTTCAGTCACTTCAGTCACTCCAGTCACTTCAGTCACTTCAGTCACAGTCACTTCAGTCACTCCAGTCACTTCAGTCACTTCAGTCACTCCAGTCACTTCAGTCACTTCAGTCACAGTCACTTCAGTCACTTCAGTCACTTCAGTCACTCCAGTCACTTCAGTCACTTCAGTCACAGTCACTTCAGTCACTTCAGTCACTTCAGTCACTCCAGTCACTTCAGTCACTTCAGTCACTCCAGTCACTTCAGTCACTTCAGTCACTCCAGTCACTCCAGTCACTTCAGTCACTTCAGTCACTCCAGTCACTTCAGTCACTTCAGTCACAGTCACTTCAGTCACTTCAGTCACAGTCACTTCAGTCACTTCAGATTTAGTACAAAGAATTTAACTTACTCTATTTATCAATTAATTATTTCTGCTTACAACTTTCTCATTGATTTTATAAATTATATTGAGATTTTGTAGTGGGTAGCAGGGCATCCAGTGAGGGTAGGTAGTGGGTAGTAGGGCATCCAGTGAGGGTAGGTAGTGGGTAGCAGGGCATCCAGTGAGGGTAGGTAGTGGGTAGTAGGGCATCCAGTGAGGGTAGGTAGTGGGTAGCAGGGCATCCAGTGAGGGTAGGTAGTGGGTAGCAGGGCATCCAGTGAGGATAGGTAGTGGGTAGCAGGGCATCCAGTGAGGATAGGTAGTGGGTAGCAGGGCATCCAGTGAGGGTAGGTAGTGGGTAGCAGGGCATCCAGTGAGGGTAGGTAGTGGGTAGCAGGGCATCCAGTGAGGATAGGTAGTGGGTAGCAGGGCATCCAGTGCGGGTAGGTAGTGGGTAGCAGGGCATCCAGTGAGGGTAGGTAGTGGGTAGCAGGGCATGCAGTGATGGTAGGTAGTGGGTAGCAGGGCATCCAGTGAGGATAGGTAGTGGGTAGCAGGGCATCCAGTGCGGGTAGGTAGTGGGTAGCAGGGATCCAGTGAGGGTAGGTAGTGGGTAGCAGGGCATGCAGTGATGGTAGGTAGTGGGTAGCAGGGCATCCAGTGAGGATAGGTAGTGGGTAGCAGGGCATCCAGTAAGGATAGGTAGAGGGTAGCAGGGCATCCAGTGAGGATAGGTAGTGGGTAGCAGGGCATCCAGTGAGGGTAGGTAGTGGGTAGCAGGGCATCCAGTGAGGGTAGGTAGTGGGAAGCAGGGCATCCAGTGAGGGTAGGTAGTGGGTAGCAGGGCATCCAGTGAGGATAGGTAGTGGGTAGCAGGGCATCCAGTGAGGATAGGTAGTGGGTAGCAGGGCATCCAGTGAGGGTAGGTAGTGGGTAGCAGGGCATCCAGTGAGGGTAGGTAGTGGGTAGCAGGGCATCCAGTGAGGATAGGCAGTGGGTAGCAGGGCATCCAGTGAGGGTAGGTAGTGGGTAGCAGGGCATCCAGTGAGGGTAGGTAGTGGGTAGCAGGGAATCCTGTGAGGGTAGGTAGTGGGTAGCAGGGCATCCAGTGAGGATAGGTAGTGGGTAGCAGGGCATCCAGTGAGGATAGGTAGTGGGTAGCAGGGCATCCAGTGAGGGTAGGTAGTGGGTAGCAGGGCATCCAGTGAGGGTAGGTAGTGGGTAGCAGGGCATCCAGTGAGGATACGTAGTGGGTAGCAGGGCATCCAGTGAGGGTAGGTACTGGGTAGCAGGGCATCCAGTGAGGGTAGGTAGTGGGTAACAGGGCATCCAGTGAGGGTAGGTAGTGGGTAGCAGGGCATCCAGTGAGAGTAGGTAGTGGGTAGCAGGGCATCCAGTGAGGGTAGGTAGTGGGTAGCAGGGCATCCAGTGAGGATAGGTAGTGGGTAGCAGGGCATCCAGTGAGGGTAGGTAGTGGTAGCAGGGCATCCAGTGAGGGTAGGTAGTGGGTAGCAGGGCATCCAGTGAGGGTAGGTAGTGGTAGCAGGGCATCCCGTGAGGGTAGGTAGTGGGTAGCAGGGCATCCAGTGAGGATAGGTAGTGGGTAGCAGGGCAAACCAGTGAGGGTAGGTAGTGGGTAGCAGGGCATCCAGTGAGGATAGGTAGTGGATAGCCGGGCATCCAGTGAGGATAGGCAGTGGGTAGCGGGGCATCCAGTGAGGATAGGTAGTGGGTAGCAGGACATCCAGTGAGGATAGGTAGTGGGTAGCAGGGCATCCAGTGAGGATAGGTAGTGGGTAGCAGGGCATCCAGTGAGGATAGGTAGTGGGTAGCAGGGCATCCAGTGAGCATAGGTAGTGGGTAACAGGACATCTAGTGAGCATAGGTAGTGTGTAGCAGGGCATCCAGTGAGGATAGGTAGTGGGTAGCAGGGCATCGAGTGAGAATAGGTAGTGGGTAGCAGGGCAACCAGTGAGCATAAATAGTGGGTAGTAGGACATCCAGTGAGGATAGGTAGTGGGTAGCAGGGCATCCAGTGAGGATAGGTAGTGGGTAGCAGGGCATCCAGTGAGGATAGGTAGTGGTAGTAGGGCATCCAGTGAGGATAGGTAGTGGGTAGCAGGGCATCCAGTGTGGATAGGTAGTGGGTAGCAGGGCATCCAGTGAGGATAGGTAGTGGGGAGCAGGGCATCCAGTGAGGATAGGTATTGGGTAGCAGGGCATCCAGTGAGGATAGGTAGTGGGTAGTAGGGCATCCAGTGAGGATATGTAGTGGGTAGCAGGGCATCCAGTGGGGATAGGTAGTGGGTAGCAGGGCATCCAGTGAGGATAGGTAGTGGGTAGCAGGGCATCCAGTGAGGATAGGTAGTGGGTAGCAGGGCATCCAGTGAGGATAGGTAGTGGATAACAGGGCATCCAGTGAGGATAGGTAGTGGGTAGCAGGGCATCCAGTGAGGATAGTTAGTGGATAGCAGGGCATCCAGTGAGGATAGGTAGTGGGTAACAGGACATCCAGTGAGGATAGGTAGTGGGTTGAAGGGCATCCAGTGAGGATAGGTAGTGGGTAGCAGTGCATCCAGTGAGGATAGGTAGTGGGTAGCAGGGCATCCAGTGAGGATAGGTAGTGGGGTAGTAGGCATCCAGTGAGGATAGGCAGTGGGTAGCAGGGCATCCAGTGAGGATAGGTAGTGGGTAGCAGGGCATCCAGTGAGGATAGGTAGTGGGTAGCAGGGCATCCAGTGAGGATAGGTAGTGGGTAGCAGGGCATCCAGTGAGGATAGGCAGTGGGTAGTGGGGCATCCAGTGAGGATAGGTAGTGGGTAGCAGGGCATCCAGTGAGGATACGTAGAGGATACAGTAGATGTAGGTTGGGGATACGTGATGTAGTGACGTGTGGGATTAATGTATGATACAGTGACGTGTGAGATTAATGTATGATGCAGTGACGTGTGGGATTAATGTATGATGCAGTGACCTGTGGGATTAATGTATGATGCAGTGACCTGTGGGATTAATGTATGATGCAGTGACGTGTGGGATTAATGTATGATACAGTGACGTGTGAGATTAATGTATGATACAGTGACGTGTGGGATTAATGTATGATGCAGTGACCTGTGGGATTAATGTATGATACAGTGACGTGTGGGATTAATGTATGATGCAGTGACGTGTGAGATTAATGTATGATGCAGTGACGTGTGGGATTAATGTATGATACAGTGACGTGTGAGATTAATGTATGATGCAGTGACATGTGAGATTAATGTATGATACAGTGACGTGTGGAATTAATGTATGATGCAGTGACGTGTGGGATTAATGTATGATGCAGTGACATGTGAGATTAATGTATGATACAGTGGCGTGTGGGATTAATGTATGATGCAGTGACGTGTGAGATTAATGTATGATGCAGTGACCTGTGGGATTAATGTATGATACAGTGACGTGTAGGATTAATGTATGATGCAGTGACGTGTGAGATTAATGTATGATGCAGTGACGTGTGGGATTAATGTATGATACAGTGACGTGTGGGATTAATGTATGATACAGTGACGTGTGGGATTAATGTATGATGCAGTGACGTGTGGGATTAATGTATGAAACAGTGACGTGTGGGATTAATGTATGATGCAGTGACGTGTGGGATTAATGTATGATGCAGTGACGTGTGGGATTCAGTGAGGATGATGCAGTGACGTGTGGGATTAATGTATAATGCAGTGACGTGCGGGATTAATGGATGATGCAGTGACGTGCGGGATTAATGGATGATGCAGTGACGTGTGGGATTAATGGATGATGCAGTGACGTGTGGGTTTAATGTATGATACAGTGACGTGTGGGATTAATGTATGATGCAGTGACGTGTGGGATTAATGTATGATGCAGTGACGTGTGGGATTAATGTATGATGCAGTGACGTGTGGGATTAATGTATGATGCAGTGACGTGCGGGATTAATGGATGATACAGTGACGTGCGGGATTCAGTGAGACAGAGAACGTACATGACGACACATTAACCTGGACTATGCACGACACATCCACTTACAGATATTTATCATATGAAATATTATAAATATTATAAATATTATAAATATTTAGCGTGACATTTTAATAATTTTACTAGTAAATCTAAATAAATGTAGATTTTTTTTTGTATTTGGAGTAAAAATTTTGATTAGCAAGTTACCGTAGAATAGACTCCATCTTGGCTGCTGTCAGGAGTAGTGTTGTTTCTCAAGTCCAGCCACTCTTGTTTTCTCGTACCTGGGGACAGAAGATGCTTCAATGTTAATCTCTCTTTCTTCTGTAAACACATGATTACATCTTTCATCTTTCTCCTTGTGCCCTCTTTCTCCCCGTCTCTCTATGCGCTCTCGACTTCTCTTTTGTTCCTCCATTACAAAAGTTACATTCTCCCTCACCCCTCTGGCATCTTATTTCTTCCCCTCACCTGTTGTCTTTCCTGCAGTGGAGTTGTTGAGATCATAACAGTAGTTGATATTGCTGCACGAGTCCATTTTAGAGTCAAGGTCTCTTGAGCGTTGATGAGTGAAGTAGTCCTCGGAGCCGGTGTAGTAGCCGTAGAAGGTGTCGAAGCCTCTCAGGGTGGGGGTGTAGTCCCAGGAGCAGAATCCAAGGTGCCATCTATAGTAATAAAGTGGGAGAAGTGAACTAAGTTGGCATCTGTCGTGATAAGAGAGAGGCGATTAATAAAACACATGTGCGTCACATAGGTGTCATTACTGATGAGAAGTTTCACCAAGCCCGTGGTCTGGTGGCAAAGCTCTCGCTTCACACGTGGAGTTTCGAGTTCGAGTCCCGGCAAGGGTGGTAACCTGTTGTCATGTTCACCCACCAGTAATAATGGGTGGGTACCTAGGCGTTTCGACTGGTGTGGGTCGCATCCTGGGACAAAACTGACCTAATTTTCCCGAAATGCTCTGCATAACAAGAGGCTTTCTGTACAGTGGTATATCACTGATGTCAACTAGGCTTGTATACCTTGTACAAGTACTTCTAGAGTTCCGGCTCCTGGGCCTGCCTTTTCGCTGATCCCTACTAGGTCCACTCCTTGCTCCAAGAACATTATCATATATCTTTAAAGCCATGTATGGATCCTATTTTCACTACATCTCTCTGAGATTATTCCACTTCCTAACATCCCTGTGATTATTCCACTTCCTAACATCCCTGTGATTATTCCAACTTCCTAACATCCTTGTGACTCATCTGAGTTTTAAACTTCCAATTGTGTCCGCTTGTTGCTGTGTCGCATCTCTTAAACATTCTGGCACTGTCCACCTTGTCAGTTCCTCTCAGTATTTTATACGTAGATAACATGTCCCCTATCCATCCTGTTCTCCAGTGTCGTCAGGATGGGTTTCCTTAACCTCTGCTCATAGGGACTTAGCTTCGGGACTAGTCTCGTTGCAAACTTTTGCACTTTCGCTAATTTCTTTAAGTGTGGGTACCAGACTGGTGTTGATATTGCAATATGGGCATGACGTACACGGTCTACAGTGTCGTGAATGATTCCTTCCTTAGATGTCGAAACGTTATTCATAGGTTTGCCAGGCGCCCATATGCTGCAACAGTTATTTGGTTGATCTGCGCCTCAGGAGATGTGCTCGGTATTGTACTCACAAGAAAATACATTTCCTTGAGTGAGTTTGGCAGCCTTTCACCTCCTAGGCTGTATTCCATCTGCGGTCCTCTTTGTCCTTCACCATTTTTCATGACTCTGCACGCACTTTCTGGGGTTAAACTCCAGAAGACATTTGTCAGACCAGGGCTGCAGTCTGTCCAGATCCCCTTGTAGGCTTACCTGCTCCTTGTCCACTTGTATTATCCTCATTAGCTTCACATCATCTGCGAACAGGGACACCTCTGACTCTAAACCTTCTGTTATGTCCTTCAAATATACAAGAAACAGCACCGGACCTAGGACTGACCCTTGTGGAGCCCCACTCGACACATGCACCCATTCTGACACCTGGTCACGTAACAACACACGTTGTTTCCTTCCTGTCAGGTATTTTTTGATCCATTGCTGTACTTTTCCTACTATTCCTGCTCCTCTAGGTTTTCAACCATCCACTTGTGTAGTACTGTGTCGAAAGCGTTGGAGTGCAGTCCAAGAAGATGCAGTCTACTCATCTCTCTCTCTCCTGTCTTACTTCTGTTATCTTGTCGTAGAACTCCAGTAGGTTCATGACGCAGGATTTCCCTTCCCTTAATCCATGCTGGTTGCTGCATATGAGTCCGTTCCTTTTTAGGTGCTCCACAACTCTTCTGCTGAAAATCTTATCCATAACTTAACATACTGTACATGTCAGTGACTCTGGTCTGTAGTACAGTGCTGCCTGTCCGTCTCCTTTCTTTAAAATCAGGGCTACATTTGCTGTCTTCCATACCTCTGGCAATTGCCTTTCGTTAGATTTATTAAAGAGTGTTAGTGGCACACACAGTGTGTCTGCTCCCTCTCTCAGGATCCAAGGAGAGATCTTATCTAGGCTCATCACTTCTGAGGTATCTAGTTCGCCTAGGAGTTTCTTCACCTCCTCCTCAAGTTGTGTGCAGTGTGTCCAGCACTTGCTGGTGCACCCTACCACCTCGGTTTGCTGGAAGCCTCTCTGTTTACTGTGAATACCTCCCTGAATCCAGAGCCGAGCTCCTTAGATACTTCTGGTTACTCCCTGTGAGCTTCCCTCCTTCCTTCCTCAACCTCATTACCTGGTTCCTGATTGTTGTTTTCCTCCTGATGTGGCTGTATAACAACTGTGGGTCAAATCTGACTTTTGACGTTTTGTCATTCTCATATTGCTGCTGGGCCTCTCTCCTTATCCATGCATATCCATTTCTGGCTGTTCAGCTCATCTTGTTTTCGTGAATCCTTTGCCTTCTATATTTTTTCCATGTTCTAGGACACCTTGGTTTGGCCGGCTAAACCGGGTAAATCATGGTCTCACTCCGGTCTTCCCATTGCTTTTATTGCCGCTTGTTATGAAACTCTTCTCTGCCTCCCTGCACTTTGTGATCATGTGTTCCATCATTTTGTTTACTGTCTAGCTCTCATGTCCTCTAGCACCTCATGTCCTTCTCTCATCTTTTTTGTGCTGCTTCACTCTCCATTGTCAAGGACCACATGATCGTTAGCGAAAAAGGGCCTTTTATGTGTGATATCCCCGATGTCTGAACTGTTCAAGGTGAATACGAGTTTCAGCATTGTTGGATCATTATCTCCTCTCTCTCTCTCTCTCTCTCTCTCTCTCTCTCTCTCTCTCTGTCTCTGTCTGTCTCTCTCTCTCTCTCTCTCTCTCTCTCTCTCTCTCTCTCTCTCTCTCTCTCCTCTCTCTCCTCTCTCTCTCTCTCTCTCTTTTCTCTTTTTTTTGTTTTTATTTTTTTTTTTTTTTTTCTAACATGTTTGACAAGGAAGGTTTCCCATAGCTCATTCACAAGCTATTACATGGTCCCCTGGTCTTTCACATGTGAGCTTTTTCAGGTTCATCCACCTCCACATCCTATTTCTTCTGTGGTTTTTGACATCCCAATCCATTCCGGGTGAAATAACTCTTTGCCATGCCCATGTGGGCCTTTCTGGCCACCTCGGATAGTGTGGCCACCATTTCTCTGTTGCTCTCATTGTATTCTTGTCTTGGTCTTCTGCTGTTTGGTGGTTAGTTGTACATCACTGCTATCATCACTTTTAGGACCCTCGGTCTGAAGTGTTTCCACTATGAAATCATCCGATACACCTCTGCCTAGACCTCCCATCTCAAAATTCCACTGGATTTTGATGAGCAGTGCAACTCCTTTCCCCTCCCCTCTGTTCTTGCTGTCTTTCCTCAGTGTCTGAAATCCGGATGGGAAGATTGCATCTATTATCAATTCCCTGAGTTTTGTCTCCATGAGTGTTATGAAGTCCGGGGATGCATCTCTGATTTTTTTCCTGCCACTCCTCGCGCTTATTTGTTATTCCATTTGCACTTGTATAAAATACCTTCAGTTTCCTCTCCAGATCTGTATTCTGGGGGGTGGGAGGGACTGTGCGGGCTGAGGGTGTGGAAGGCTGGACTGGATATCATGGGAGGCTGCTGTTGTGGTGGTATTAGTATCGGGAGGGATGGGGTGTGGAGTGTGGCTAGTTTCTGGTTATTGTCTTTGGTTTGTGTGAGGTGGTAGGGGGTTGAGGGGATTCTGTGGGTGGTTGTGCTTGTTGTTCCTTTCGAGGCTGCACTTGCCTCTCTACCTCTCTAAAGGGTCGACAATCCAAATGAATTCTTTATGAACGAAACCCAAAATTTGGTCATCCCAAAAATCTCGGATATTATTCTAACTCCACAAGACTTTGAAGAGGCAATTAATGACATGCCCATGCACTCTGTCCCAGGCCCAGACTCGTAGAACTCCGTGTTCATCAAGAATTGCAAGAAGACCCTATTGCGTGCCTTCAGCATTCTATGGAGAGGGAACATGGACTAAGGGGTCATCCCACACACACTAAAAACAACAGACATAGCCCTACTCCTCAAAGGTGGCAATAAAGCAATTGCAAAGAACTACAGACCGATAGCACTAACATCCCATATAAAAATCTTTGAGAAGGTTCTAAGAAGCAAGATCTCCAACCACCTAGATACCCATCAATTACACAACCCAGGGTTGAACACGGGTTTAGAGCAGGTCGTTCCTGCCTGCAGCCCCGGGATGTTCACTGCAGCCCCGGGATGTTCACTGCAGCCCCGGGATGTTCACTGCTTGACTCTCACATCTGAACAAGTCACGGCTGTCCAACTTTAGACATTCAAGCGGTATGCACTGTCGTAGACATGAAAAACTTTCCTATGATGTCACTGAGTTAACTTAGGAAAGTCATTAAATAAAGGATTGTTCTACTAACCTACGGAAAGTTTCGTCCCCTATCGACATGACAACTTTGTCGTGAAAACCGCTAGATGGAATTATGAATACAATAACACACACACACACTCACACACACACACACACACACACACACACACACACACACATACACACACACAGGAGCTCAACACAAGATTTAAAGAAGTATTTATAGTGGAAACCAGTAGGACTCCAGGAAATCAGAGCAGGGGGGTGCACCAGCAAGTGCTGGATGAGGTACATATAACCAAGGAGGAGGTGAAGAAGCTGCTATGCGAACTTGACACCTCAAAGGCGGTGGGACCAGACAACATCTCTCCATGGGTCCTTAAAGAGGGAGCAGAGATATTGTGTGTACCGTTAACAAAGATCTTCAACACATCATTTGAAACTGGGCAACTCCCTGAGGTATGGAAGATGGCAAATGTAGTCCCAATTTTTAAAAAGGGAGACAGACATGAGGCACTAAACTACAGACATGTATCACTAACGTGTATAGTATGCAAGGTCATGGAGAAGATCATCAGGAGGAGAGTGGTGGAGCACCTGGAAAGTGTATAATTGACAACCAGCACGGTTTCAGGGAGGGAAAATCCTGTGTCACAAACCTACTAGAGTTTTATGACAAGGTGACAGAAGTAAGACAAGAGAGAGGGGTGGATCGACTGCATTTTTTTGGACTGCAAGAAGGCCTTCGACACAGTTCCTCACAAGAGGTTACTGCAAAAGCTAGAGGATCAGGC